AAAAAAAAAAAAAAAAAAATCAAAATAGAGCAACTTAGTCAGACCCTGTCTCAATATTAAAAGTGATTTTAAAAAAATCAACCCCTGAGTTCAACCCCAAGTTATTAAAAAAAGTGATAAGATATTTGAGGGAGAAAGGACAACAGATATAATAGGATAAATGGGACTTGGATGTTGCCCTAGGAAACTTAAAATGGCTAATCTGTGGAGACAGGCTTACCTCTTCCCTGAAACTCCAAGCATGGCCACACTTTGGAAGTTTGGAAGTTTTGTTGACAACCCCTAAGTGACTTGCTTTGTTGCCATATGGTCAGATTTCAATCTCTTCTTACTGTGATTCAAGATGATCAACCAGATGTTGGCAAGAGATTAACCATACCAGTGATTGTTCAGCCATTTTCACTTTTTTTGGTAATGATGCAATGTTTTATATTGAACATCTGTCATTTATAATTTGGAATATAGCAATAAAACTATTTTTCTGTTTTTGTATTTTATTGTTTTGTTGTTTTGCTTTGCTTCATTTTGAGATAGGGTCTCACTGTGTAGTTCAGACTGATGTTGAACTCACTGTGTAGCCCAGGCTGGTCTCGAACTCACAGCAATCCTCCTGCCTCAGCCGCCTCAGTGCTGGGATTACAGGCATACGCCACCATGCCTGGCCAATAAGAAAGATGTGCCTAGTTACAGCCCCCATCCCTGGACCATCATCCCAGGAAGCTCATGTCAGGCCCTAATCACCATCTCCCTCACCTGGGAGCTGGTGCTGGAGAGAGGCTTTGGTCAATAGCCCTCATTCAGAGAGAACAATGGTTGCCCCCGTGGGGGCCCCTGAGAGTGTGGCTGACTCTGTCCTAGCTCAGGGGATGCATATTCTAGCCCCACCCCACCCCCAACATTACTTTTCTTTTCTTGACTTCAGGCAAAGCTCTGAACACTCACCTAGAGAGTGAGTAGAGAGCTCAGTTCTTGGACACCCAGGCAAAAGGCTCCAATGGAACCACCGCAGCAGTTAAGGTAAGGATTCCTGTGGAGTGGTTGCCACTTAAAAGAAAACATCACCTTTTTTTTTGGCGCCTGGGATTGAACTCAGGTCTTTGTGCTTTCCAGGCAGGCAGGCGGCAGGACCCCTGAGCTAAATCCCTGGCCCTACATCACCTTTTTAATGTGTTTGCTTCTTGCTCTTCTGAATCTCGGGAACTGGAAGTCTCCTGCTAGAAAGGGAGATCATCTCAGACCTCTGCCTCCATCCCATTCATACCCTACCATAGATCCTCAGTGAGTGGCTTAATGATGCCCATCTCTATGTGTTGTTCAGGGATTCATCCAGAAGGACAACATAATGACATGAAAAAGAGTCAGGAATGGTGACTCTAACCAAAAAGGGATCTAGTTTCCAGGTCACAGAGGTGAGGGCACCCCTAGAATCTGCAGTTGCTCCAAGAGCCCCTGAAAAGCTCCCCTAGAAACAGAAAAGACAGTCTCTGGGATTAGGTGGGAAATCCTGTGGGGAGGCAAAATGTCATCCTTGGAAATACAAGCTGAGTGGAAGTCTGGGTCTGGAGAGGATAAAATGCCCCACTATTTTCTTTCCTTTTTTATGGTGAAAATAATATGTATTTAGAATTAGCCAACTGGACTCAGTTTAGATGATCCCAATTTTGTTGGCAACATAAAAAGCATCATAACCAGGAGCCAGGGGAACACACGCCTTCTCTCCATCAGGCCCAGTGAGGGTACTGACCTTGGCCCCGTCAGTGTCACAGAGCTTCTCCGCCACTTGTTTGATCTAGTGCCTCTTGGCCTTGCCATCCACAATGAACGCAAGTGTGTTGTTGTCCTCTGTGTTTCTCATGGCCAACTCTGTGGTGGGAGAACTTGATGACTGCACAGTGGTCAAGCTTGTTTCTCCTGGGGGTGCTCTTCTGAGGGTATTTGAGCTGGTGCCGGAGCCACAGCATCTTGGGACTTGGGAAGGTAGGTGACATGCAGATCTTCCTTTTGTGGCTGTGGATGCCTTTCAGCGCTGCTTTCTTGGCTTTCAAAGCTTTTGCTTTGACTTCAGTTTTGGGAGGGGCAGGAGCTTCCTTCTTCACCTCCAGCGCCATCTTGGTAAAAAGGCCCCACTATATTCTTGAAGCTAATTGTATCCAGATCCCACTGAGGCTCACACAGAGATCAGGAAGAGCATGATTCACACTTGACTAGAAATTTTTTTCTCACAGAACTCCTAGCTTGTCATGAGCCCAATCAAAATCTCCATCAAACCTAACAATTAATGTTAGACGAAGCAATGGGCACTCTAGGGGGACTGGAGCTTAGAAAAAAGAGAGAAATGTAAAAGTTTCAGATAATCTCATTCTAGAACAGTGGTGAGGAACCTATGGCATTTATGTTACTGTCTTTTTCTTATAAGACAGAAGATGTTAATGTCTGAGTTGTTTTTCCTAGACAAAAGCCTCCGTATTCAGGTTTAGGTGCCGTAATGTTGGCACTTTGCAATAAATGAGTTCTGGGTTGCAATTTGGGCATTTGGTTTCTAAAAGGTTCGCCATCACTGTTCTAGAACATTCCACAATGTTTAATGTAGGTTATACAGATGATAAAAGTCTAGAGTATGTCTTTCCTCCCCCCACAAGATCAAAAGGGTAAAAGCCGAGAGACTGCTCTGTGGGTCTCATACCACAAGTCTTCATTGAAGATTAAACCCATCAATCCCTGACTCATTTCCCCTTCACCCTGCCTTACTTCCTTGAGGACCATCTGGTTTGAACATGTGCATCTCAAAACTCCCATCGGAACAGAATCTGCCCTTCACTTCCCTGTCAGTGGACGTCAGGTCAGGGAGACAGAGGTGGGGCAGTGAAGGTGGGAAAGTTCCCAGAGTTTAGTTAAATCATGTTGCATAGGAGAAGGGAAATGGGGAAATGGCAGGGTTGGGGGCGGATTACAGGCAAGAGGGAGACATCCCTGGCTCTGAGATTACGAGCACCCACACATATTTCTGCACCCATGTTTCTCAAAGGTGGGAAATATGTTCTCTTTCAGACTCCAAAGAGTATGTACCTCAGAACCCCAGGTTCAGAATCACTGGACTTGGAAACTACACTGATTCAGTGATAATGTCTTTCACTTGCAAGTTATAAGAGGGTTTGTCTTTGTGTCACAGGCTCCTTGTGTTATCCTCAAAAACCCTCCTCCGCAGTGTATACATTGCAGAAATTGAGTGTACACCCAAGATCACAGATTGAGAAACAGCTGGACAAGCTCCCAACACAGCCATCATGAATATCTTCCTATGGGGACTCCTCATGGCAACAGCAGTGGTGCTCCCGGCATTTTATTTCATTAAGGAAAACCCTTTTGACACCACAAGTTTCCTGTCTTTGGTGAGTACCAGAAATTTGGAGTAGGCCAAGTTAAAAATCCCCGGACTGGAAGACAGCATTATCTTGAGCGTCCATCTGTGTGAAGTTGTCACAAATACTGTAGACATTCAAAGAAGAAAGACAAGAATGCTTCAGGAATCCATCTATTCTTTTTCTTTGATGAGAATTCAGTAAGGATGGTGACTCTCTAGAATGGTAAAAATTCTGAGCTGAGAAGGAATAACATTTAATGCTTTGGCAGAGTTGGCCCTTATAGCAATTTCTAAGATAAAATTATCCTTGTTTTATAAGTTGCCCATTTTAAAAAAATGTTCCTTGGTTTTCAAAGTTATACATTTTCATCATTGTTACTCCTCAGAATCCTGAGAGGTTAAGCCATTTCTCCAAGCCAAGAAAAACTCGAAGAAGTACAGAAATTTTCAGCAGAACACAGAAAAAGTCAAAGAAGAGAAGGGAGGGTGAATGAACAGGAAAGATTTGTTTGGACACAAGAGTGGTATGACCTGGCCCTCAATATTGTCACACTTAACGTGTGATGCCTGTCATGGATGAATGACACTTATAAGCCTGTTATAGGAATAAATGAGGGTAAAGAATGACATTTTATTCCCTGTATGTTGCCAGAGAGTTAGAGAAATTTCAACTCCCTCTATCCAGGATCCATAACCTCTATGGAAACCCCAAGGGTAGAGAAGACAAGGATGAAACTTGAATTGAGCCTGAGCAACCTGCCCTGTGTCGTGGAGATGATTTCATTCTGTTGTGCAGAGGGCCATCCAGCCATTATTCCCAGAGGTGATGAATCATAGAACTGAATCTCACTCTTTTCTCAGGAGGAAAAGGAGATGGTAGCTTGGCAGAGAGCCTGGATGCAGATCAGCCCTGGCCTAACGGAGCACCTCAAAAGCTTCAGAGAGATGCAGAGAAACTCAGAGCCGCTCAAAAATGTGCACACTCAGATTTTGATTGGAGTCCCTCCCGTGGAGAAAAGTGAGTGCCCACAAGGCATGTACATCATCCAGGAGAGGCAAGGATAGAGGGAATGCAGGAAAGGAAAGAGAATATACCAGGAATTTAGATGCAATGGTACTGATGCTGAGTCCACTCGTTTCCCATCCCCTCTGCTGATGCAACTAGGGAGACACTGGAAAGGCGCAGGAGGCAACAATGGGATGAGGGATTGAGTAAAAGAGAAGCCAGAGGTAGCAACATAGTCTGGAGTGGACTCCTAGGGTTAAATGGGGCTCTAGAGACCCTTTAGGGACTTCTACTCAAAAGTGGGGCTCATAACAGCAGATAGGGTAGTTTGGTAGAAATATAGAATCAGCAGGGCCAGGGAGTTAGTTCAATGGTTCCACTGCCTGCTTTGCAAGTGCAAGGACCCAAGTTCAATCCCTGGTACCAAAAAAAAAAAAAAGAATCAGCCAAATGTGGTGACACATGCCTGTAACCCTAGCTACTTAAGAGGCTGAGGCAGAAAGATCTCAAGTTCAAGACTAACCTGAGCAGTTTAATGAGGCCCTGTCTCAAAATAAAAATTTAAAAAGGGCTGGGGATGTAGTTCGGTGGTACAGTGCTTGGCTGAAATGTGTGAGGCCTTGAGCTCAATCCCAATACCACCAAGGAAAGAAGGCAAAGAAGTCAAAAAGCACATTTATGGTATCTCCAGATCACAGAGAGCTACTGCTTTATGTGGGTGTCTGTTTCTTCACTGTCTTCCCAGTACTATTCTTTGCCAATTTGAAATGCAAAAAATACTTCTTATTTTATGACATTTGTTGTTATCTAATAGCTTTGTTTATTACTAAAGGTTGAGCGTTTTTCATAAAATTAAAAGTCATTGGTCCGGGGATTTATCTCAGTGGATCCGCCGCCTGCCTTGAAAGCACAAGGACCGAGTTCAATCCCCGATATAAAAAAAAAAAATTAAAAATCGTTTTTGTGTATTCTATGAATTTCCAGTGTGTATTATTTGGTCATTTTCTGTTGGCTTGTTCTTGTTGTTGATTTATAGGAATTATTTATATATTGGAGATATCTGCACCTTGTTAAACCCCTACTTGTTTGCTACTTGTGTCTGTTCATGATTCTTTTGCTATATGAACATTTTAAAATCTTATATCAAACCTCGGTTGCATGTATTGCTCAAAGAAAAACTAGCCCTCCACAATTTCTTTTTGGAGAACTTTTATACGTTCTTCTAATACTCTTATGATTTTGCTTTTGCACATATAAGTGTTTCATATAGGTAAAATTTAGTTTTAAGTAAGATGTGAGCAAGATAATCAACTTTATTTACATTTGGAAATCCTCTGATCTCAACTGATAAGAAATGCCACCCGTGCCATAGAAGTTCCTACATGTACACGAGTTTTTTTCTGGAAATAATTTTATTTTATTGACCTTTTAATATCCCGGAAAAGATCCATGGGATCAGAGTTTCTATTGCTGTACTGTGTATATTGTTAAATTCTCCCTCCCCTGCTTACTTATTTTTATACTCTCACATTTTTCTTGGCTACTCTTTATTTTTTTCTCTTCTAGATGAATTTTTTTAAGTCAGTTTGTCAAATTTCATAAAAAATACTGTCGATTGGGGTTGCGTTAAATTTACAGATAAGCCTGGAGTTAATGTTCATTATATTGATCCCTACCTCCAAGAAATGTGTTGTGGGCACCGGGGACTTAGCTCAGCAGCACCCTGCCTGCCTGGCAAGTGCAAGGTCCCGAGTCCAATCCCTGGTACCAGAGGTGGGGGGAAGAACTGTGTTGTGTGTCTACACCATCAGATTATCTGTCATGGGCTGCATCGAAGCTCTACCACTATTTTTTACAAGTCTTTCACCTTTCTGGTTCGGTACGGTCCACTGTAAGTAAGTTATAGTCCTGCATGAGATGTGGCCTCCTAACTGGTTATAAACAGTCTGAAGGGACACTAATGCGGGTGTGGGTGTTGATCTTAGGCCTGTCATGTTAACTATCTTACTGGTTTTAATAGTTCCCCAGTAAATTCTCTTGTGTTAGCTATGTAGATCATTATTATTTACAAAGAGTGATGTCTTTGTTTCTTTTGAATATTTTTTTCATTTTTGGATTATATAACTTCACTGACCAGTATTAGTCAAAGTAAGCATGTTTGTCTCACTCCTGACTTCAAATATTTCATCATTAATTATGATATTCCTATAGATTTTCATTTGTATGTGTCTAGGAATAAACAAAGTTGTATGTTGTGCTTTAGGTTTACAGTTTATCAAAAGTAGTTGTATTCCTTGTACCCTGGAACTCACAAATGCTAGGTGAACTCCTTCTACTGAGTTACAGACATAACCTTTTTTTGTTATTTTTAAATCTTGAAACAGGCAGGGTCTTGCTAAGTTGCTGAAGATGGCCTCAAACTTGAAATCCTCCTGGCTCACTGCCCCAAGTAGCTGGGACTATAGGCGTGCGGCACCATGCTCAGCCTCTTGAGCTGTAGTTTCAAACACCTTACATACATAATGGGTAGCCTTGCCGGGCATGGTGGCACACGCTTATAATCCCAGTACTCTCGAGGCTGAGGCAAGAGGATCGCTGTGAATTCGAGTCCAGCCTGGTGGGCAACATAGTGAGCTCCAGGTCAGTCTCAACTACATAGTGAGACCCTGTCTCAAAAAACCAAAAAAAAAAGGTAGCTTATACTTTAAATGTTATATGCAATATGAAAAGTATACCAAAGGTACAGAAGGTCTGTGACTACCCAGGTAAAAAATAAAATTATGCTGGGGATGATTTAGCTCAGTGGTTCCACACCTGCCTCACAAGCACAAGCAGCACCAAAAAAATAAAACCAAAGCACTTTTCTGTATTCTTCCCCTATGATAAATGCTCCCTTATGGGTTTTATTGCTGTTATTTCCCAGTGTGGGGGATTGAACCTGTGCCTTATACAGACGGCAAGGGCTCTACCACTGAGCCATAGCCACCTCTGACCCCTCTTTGTTTTCCCCTCCCAAGAAGTAACACTGCTTTGAATTTGGTATTTATCATTCCCTTATATTTTTGATAAACTTACTAGATGTGTAATCATCCTAAGCTGATATTCACCTTGTTTTTAAACTTTTTAAGTGTGATATAAGGGACTTTGGGTGTAGTTCAGCAGTCATACCCAGCATGTGTGAGAACCCAGGTTTGATCCCTGCACCTGAAAAGGAAGAAGAAAATCACAAAGGTATAAAATTGTATGTATTTCTTTCAGAACCAACTTTCTTTCACTTCATATTATGTTTATGAGATTCTGTTCCCTTCCTTTTCATTAAATATCTTACTAGTGTTACACTGTGTATAAAACAAACATTGTCAGGCCAGGGATTTAGCTCAGTGGTGCCACACCTGATTTGCAAGCACAAGGTCTTGAGTTAGATCCCCATAAGGGGGCAGGGCGTTGTCATGGTTCAGCCAACCCTTGACTGAATGACCAGTGGCAATATTTTGATCCTCTCCCCGTTAATGAGCACTTAGGTTAATTCCACTTTTCACTATTCCAACAATGTTGCTATGAGTATTCTTGTATATAAATCCCTATGTTCACTCATGAGAAATTCTCTAGGACACATACCTAGGAATTTTGTTGTTGTTCATAGTACTGGGGATTTAGCCCATGGCCCCCTCCACACATACACCTTTTTTAAAATTAGTTTTTGAGGGCCAGGGACTTAGCTCAGTGATGCCACCGCCTGCTGCACAAACACAAGGTCCTGAGTTCAATTCCTAGTACCAAAAAAAGAAAATTATTTTTTGAGACAAGTTGCTAAATTGCTTAGGCTGGGCCCACATTTGCAACCCTACTGCCTGGGTTCCCCAGTGTTGGAGTCACTTGCATACAGTACCATGCCCAGCTGATCATCTACAACTTTTAATCTATTATATTTCATTACATTCTGCTTTTTATCTTATTTCCACACCCTACTTCCCCTAGTGTGTTTTTGCTCTAGTCTCTTTTTTTGTTTGTTTTTTTTGTTTTTTGAGACAGGCTCTCACTATGTAGTTGAGACTGACCTGGAACTCACTATGTAGCCCAGGCTGGTCTTGAACCATAGCGATCCTCCTGCTGCCTCAGCCTCCCAAGTGCTAGGATTACAGGAATGAGTCACCACGCCTGGCCGTTGCTCTAGTTTCTTTGTTTCTGGTTTCATTTATTTTCTTTTATTTTGTAGCAAATACATTGAAAGCTATTACTTCCCCTCTAAGTCCCAATTTAAATTATTCCACAAGTTTTGGCCCATGGTGTTCTTATCCTCATTCAGTTCTAAGTAGCTGTTAATTTTCATGTGGATTTCTTCTCTATTCTAAGAGATATTTAGAACAGTGATTTTCCATTCCTAAAGGGATGCTTTTAGTTAGACTTTCATGATTCAGCTTAGTTTTATTGCACCATAGTAAAAAAAATATAGCCTATAAAATTGCTATCTTCAGAACAATGAAAATTAAAGTTGTCTTCTTGGTCTATTTTATAGTCAATATTTTTTAAGTATATCTGAAAGAAATGTGTGTCCCCGAAGAGCCCTACAGACACACACACACACACACACACACACACACACACACACTCTGAATATCCTTAACTGTGTTATTCAAAATTATTTGTTTTTGCTTACTTGATCTGTTGATTTCTATAAAAGAGAAAATGCTCCTGGGCTGGGGATTTAGCTCAGCGGTTCGGTGGCCTGCCTTGCAAGCACAAGGACCTGAGTTCAATCCCTGGTACCAAAAAAAAAAAAAGAGAGAAAATGCTCATTGTGATTATGAATCTGTCCACTTCTTTTATATTCCTAAAGTTTCATTTTGTATTTAGCTGTGGGTTAGGTAAATTCTATTTGTCAGCATTTGTACAATATGTTTTTTTCATTGCTGTCTTTTCAACACTTTTGTGCCTTCTCTATGCATTTTTATTTATTGGATGGAGCTGTGTTTCACTGAATGCGGATATTAAAGGAGGCATTTTTTCCAGCTATCTGTCTCTCCTCTGATGATCTTGTACCAACTCAGAAACACGTAGGGGTGGGATAAGGAGCTGAGTGAAACATAACCCCCCTTTTCTATTCACATGAAGCTGGCTTGGAGAATGCAGGTTGGGTCCAAGAACATAATCAGCTTTCTAACACATCATACAGCTGCTTGTTCTAATGCCCACCAGTCCCAAATTAAAGAAAGGAACTTTCAAAAAAATGGTTCAGTACAGGAGGAATTAAACACCGAGATGACACTGAGATGAGCAGAAGGCTCCTTTGCCCACAGATGCAGAGAAGCTGAGAATGCAGCAGCTGCATGTGACCCAGTCTTGAAAGAAAACTGGGTCAGTAGGTGTAAGATTTTTCATCTCACCAGACAAATCAATCAGGGAGCAGGAAGTGGCCTAAGTAACTCCTACATGAGAGGATGTGTATTCCTGCCTTAGGAAAAGTGTGCTCCAGTTTAGGGAACTACAAGAGAGCCAGGGAATTTCTCCTCACCCACACTCTCCTCCTATCCCCACCCTGCCTCTGACCTCTTTGAAGAGTCTGACACCTTTCCTTTGTGCCTCCAGAACGCATGGTCCCTTCTCCAGGTGAAGGCGGACTGCCCATACCCTGGTCTAGTTACAAACTTTCCATGTTTGTAGCAGGTCCCACCTCCTCTTTAGTGACTCTAAGGACCATTACTCAAGTGAGTTTCTGTCTTCTGGACATCGATTTTCCCTCTTTCCTGTATCATACAAACACACTGCCATTTTTTTAGTCTTGTTTTTCATTTTGCCTTTCTTAGGGGTCTCCCTATGAGGTGCAGGTTTACTATGTAGTAAACTTACTGTGTAGCCCACTCAATCTCATGATCCTCCTGCCTCAGCCTGCCTAGTGCTAGGATTGTAGGAATGTGCCACCATGACCTGAAACTTTCTAACCTTGATAGAAGAAAGAAAACCCTTAACACCACACTTTTTTTTTTTTTTAAGACAGAGTCTCGCTCTATAATTCAGGCTGGCCTTGAGCTCACTTTGTAGCCCAGGCTGGCTTCGAACTCATGGCAGTCCTTCTACCTCAGTCTCCCGAGTATTAGGATTACAAGTGTGCACCACCATGTCTGGCTAACACCACATATTTATGCCCTCTTTATTTCACCAAAATTATTCTTGTCTAGGCAACTTCATATCCATGGGTTAGCTTCCAGTCTCCATCCTACCTGACCTATCACAGCATTTATCCCATGGTGTCACCCTCTTCTTCCAACGTCCTTCAATTATTTCTAGGTTTTCAGATACTTCTGGTTTTCCTCCAGCTTTACTGGTAGATACTAAGTCTGGTTTGCTAGTTCATCTTGTCTCTTCAACCTAGAAATGCTGACTTCTGTTATAGAGGTTTATGGCTGGAGACCATGTGACCTTTTCTTTGTCCACTCAATCAGGACTGAGCAGCTCCCTGGCTGAGCTAGCTTTACTTTAGACTGGGTGCTCTCCTGAAGTCTGAGTGTGACATCCATTTCATTTCATCACCTGGGCTGCAATGGTATTTGATAAGAAAAAATAAACCTTGGAACAGAATTATCCTTTTATGACTTAATACTTTCAAGAACTCAGAGGAAAAGATAAATTGCTTATTATGTCAATAAAATAAGTTCAGGAGCACTTAAATTTGCTGGTAAAGCACTGCCCTATCTCTTCCAGGGGCTTTGTCCTATCTGTCTGCCTTAGCACCCACCCAGCACTCTTTATTCCTGAGCCAAACATAGAGCCTTCTCCTGGTGACAAATGCCATAGCCTGTATGCATCTCCTTTCTTCCTCTGTTGTCCAGAGGTCTTAGCTTCCATTCTGACATCCTCTCTAGCCCCAGGACTCACACCTAGAACTTTCCCCTAGCGGAAAAATCCCCTTTATTTAAACAAAAACCCTTAGGACTCTCACTCAAGAATGGGTGTTGCCACTGTTGCAGAATTACAAAGAACAAGAGCCGGGGAATCAGGAGGATTTTATTCCGTGTACACCCGAGCCAGCCAAGCTGTGTCCAGGGTGCTGGGTGATTGAACAAAGGAAAGTTTCAGTTTTTATATGTTTCGTTGGGGGTGGGGAGCTGGTCTTTCTAGTGGTGCAGTAAGTGAGTCTAGTGGAACAGAACAAGGGCAGACAGTTTAGTAATTTAGCCTTGTAAGAAGACAGTGTTTTAGGGGGTGAAGGGAGGGCAGGGGTAAGGGGAAAAAATGAGAATCAAGACTTGTCATGTGGAGGTACAAGATCCCAACAATGAATGTAACTGTACTGTATCCCTAAAATGTACCAATAAACAATTAAAGCTAAAAAAAAAAAGAAGACAGTGTCTTAAGAATCATATGGGAACAGGGTGTCATAAACTGTGTTTACAGAACGTAGTTGTTTACAGAGCATATGGTTCTTTGGGGGTTGCAAAACTTTATTTACAGGACTATGACTTTCTACATTATCAGTTCCTGGGGAGGTCAGCAGCTATGGGCAAGCGTGGAGACCTGAGTGGGGAACTGCTAGACAGCTTTTAGCTGGGAGAACTGATTTTCTTTTAAGGTCTGCTTCACCACCAGCTCCTCCATGGTCATTGGCCCAGTGGTTTTAGAAATAGTTCTATAATTGTAATTATCCTGGTGACCACCTCGGGGCCCACTCCTCTTCTTTACATTTGGTCCTCTGAACTTAGGGTTTTTGAGAGGCTTTTGCAGAACAGTGTGCCTGTGCAGCTGTTTCCTCTGATGTTTCATTTGGACAGCAGACTCCTCTGCCTTCGATTCTTCCATCAGCCTTGTCCTCCTGCATTCGCTCTGTCTTTCAGGAATTCTTCACATGTGGTGGTTCTTTCAGGGCAGTCTCTGGGCTTTTTCAGTGGGATTAGAAGGGACACAGATGTAAACGCTTAGTTCATCATCGTAATCCGTTTCCCAACAATAGTTTTTATTTAAAGAAAAACTCTCAACTGTGACCAGGTAATAATTCATAATATGGCTCATACTCAGTGCTAGAGAACAAAATGCACACGAAGCAGATGCTCATGGAGAGGCCTATGAGTGTAGCATAACCTCCTTTAGCAATTACTTTTTCCATTTCTCTAAATTGGTAAAAGTTCCTGTTTTCTCCCCAATCCTAGAACTGCTGACCATAGGAATTTCCTCGGTGCAGCGTCCCCAAGAGAGCTACCTTTTGGAGACCCTACAATCTCTCTTCTTGGCTTCTTCCTCACCTGAGCAGAAACACTTCATCGTTCTGGTACATCTGGCAAGTCCCAACCCCAAGTGGCTTGGTCAAATGACCTCCAACATCTCAACACTCTTTAAACCATACATCCAGGCCAGACAGCTAGTAGTGATCAACACACTGGGGAAAAGCTATCTTCCTCTGAAGAACCTTAAGAAAAAGTTTAATGATACTCCCGCCTCTGTGGCCTTCCACTCCAAGCAGAACATGGATTATGCCTTCCTCATGAACTTTGCTGCCAACTGCTCTGACTACTTCTTGATGATTGAAGATGATGTGAAATGTGTTCCTGGATTTGTCACCCAGATTGCTAGTATTTTGTCTGCCTGGGAAAGAAAGTTTTGGGTGACTCTGGAGTTCTCCCCCCTGGGCTTCATTGGAAAAGTCTTTCACACTAGAGACCTCCCTTACTTTGTTCGTTTCCTTCTCTTCTTTTACCAAGGAATGCCTTGTGATCACCTCCTCTCCCACTTTCTTAATCTCAGTCACCAAAAACCAATCCAATTTTCTCCATCTCTCTTCCAGCAAAGACATAATTACTCCTTGGAGGGCAGATTCAGCAGCCTCAGAGAAGCTGAGGAAAATAATATTGGCTGTCCCAACAATCCTGCTGCCACCCTTTATACCAACCTGAATGTCGCCAATGACTCTGTTCTCATGAATGCCTACAGCTTGGATAAAAATTACTTTTATACCAAGGAGGCGAAGGCTGGCAGCTACCTGACTGTGTTTTTGTACAGGCCTGCCACAGTGTTCCATGTGCAAGTCCTCACAGGCTCTGAACTACAAGAGGAAAATCGGTTGGAAGAGGGACAAGTAGAACTGGGATATGATTCTACTAATAGAGTCACTGACTGTGATGACTATGTTTTCCTGGGGATGCTAGTAAATGGCACCCTGAATAAGCATGTATTATCTGAAGACTCAGGGAAGAAGGTCAGATGTGTGAGATTGCTCGTAACAGCCGCTCCACCCTCCGGTTTAAAAGTGAGGCACATCAACCTTTGGGTTAAATAAAGTTTGAATAATATAAAGAAAAGCCACCAGAAGGTCTAGATTGGAGGGAGAGTCTACAGAGTTAACAAAACATCAAAATCTTGAAGTTGTGAGAAAAATCTCTTTCCTGGGCCCTTTCGGGATTCTTAGTACAGAAGACACAGCCTGTTGAAAGACAGAGTGAAGGTAATATCCTTTTGGTCCCAGAGACTTATAAGTGGAAGGAGAAAGCTTATTTTAAAAAAAAAATCTTGATTTTTCTATCCCAAAGCATCTACCATACAGATTTTTTTTCCTTGGAGCAAGAATACCAGACTTCTAAAAATAACAGGAAAATGTGAGTGAAACTGATACTGAGATCATAAGACTTCAACAACACATGAGAGAAAACAAAGAAAGGATCCTTGCAGCAGCCAAGAAATGGATTCATTAAGGACTGGACTTCCCATATGAAAGAGAAAAGTAAATTGACAATGAACAGGACTCTTTTCTCCGTGGCCTCTTTTTTCCATTATAAAGTACATGCAACAAACATGGAACACTTTAGATGGTAAGCAGAGTCCTCTCTAAATCATACAACACACCAAAGGATTCCTTTTAAATTGCATCACAGGGCCAGGGATTTAGCTCAGTGGTTCCGCCACCTGCCTCGCATGCACAAGGGCCCAACTTCAATCCCCAGTACCAAAAAAAAAAATGCATCACAATTATTAAAAACAATTTGCTATGATTTCTGCGGCTCCTTTCCACAACACAGTTATATCTGTGGGACTGCAGGTAACTTGTATATCCATGCAGGGACTACTCTGGAAATTTTACTAACATCTTTACCTTGGTTTGACTAGGAAGTCTAGAAAAATCTGAGACCTGAGCTCAACTAATATCCAGTATCTGAGGATGGTATTTTCCTTAGTTTGAAAAACTATAATCCAAGAAGTCAGAGAGAGAGAGGAGAAAGGTAAGGATCACTTTCAGAGGAATACTTGAAAAAACTAAAATCAAAAGCCAGACAGAATAGCTGAAGGAGTAGAAATCAAAGTGGTGAGAAAAAGCTGGGGAATTTGGAAATAGGATAATGAAATAGGAGTGGGAGACAGAAGTTTTGGAGGCATCAGATGCAAAAGAATTAGGAAAGCCACAAAAGCACACTGGTCACATCTCCTGCTGTGGCCAGCATGACCACCTGACAGACTCAGGGCCCCCCATCAGATCCACCTCCATCTTGGCACCAAGGCCCTGGTTCCCAAAGACCATGACTGACCACAGCAGGGTCCGAAGCCAGACCCATTCTACCATGATGGGAGATTCCTCTGACTTTATGTATATTTTTTTTTACTTTTATTTATTTATTTATTTTTGAGACAGGGTCTCTCTGTATAATTCAGGCTAGCCTGAACTCATTATGTAGCCCTGGCTGGCCTCAAACTCGCAGCAGTCCTCCTGAGTACTGAGATTACAGTCATGCACCATTACACCCAGCTTCTCCTCTAACTTTAGTTTGAGGACTCCCTCTCAGCCTGTTCTGAACTGTCCTGGAAACAGTCTTACATTACAGTCCTAGGAACTACAGTTCTAGACTCTCCCTAGGCAACCATAGTCTAAAGACTATGGCTAGTCTTGTTTTGGTGACAGCGTCTTGCAAAGTGTGAGCTAATATGAGTTATACCAAGAGTGGTCTGAGAAAGTAGACAGTGAGTTGAGGAATTAGGGCTGACTTCCTCACAACCCGCAGGGAGTTGTAGCAAGAGAAGTTAAAATGCATTCCTCCAAAATGCATTCCTGCTTACTTCCTGGACCTGGGACAATTATCAGATCCATACTTACTGAAAATGTGACCAGGTACCTAGAAGAAAGGAACCTTCAATACCAAAAGGTATTATAGCAGTTCCCTCCTTTTTTCCCCCAAAGATACCAACAGCCATTTAAGTGAGTGAGAAGGAGGAATGCTCAAACGCTTTCAGGACTTTTGGACACAAGGTCTAAGTTGATGCCAGTATCCAAGATTCAAAGAATAATTTCAGCCTCCTGTTGAGTGAGAGCATAACATGGTTATAAATTACTTTGCCAAAGTCATGCTTCCCATGGGACAACTGTGTCCCCAGATGCATCCAGCAGTCCTTTTCCCAGACTATGTGTGTAATTGGAATCAATGGATTTGACAGTTTAAGAACCCCTTAATAGGATCCTTGGCCTGTGGGGTAATAACTATGACAGTGGGGGAAACCATACTGGGGAAGATCACTTAGTCTCTGAGACTGACATCACTCCTAGCTAAGATAGCAAGTAAAGATCCTAGGTTGAGACAATGGCACAGATTAGTGGCATTAGAGACCTAACAGATACAGGGATAGTGTATCTGTTTATGACAAAATCTGTTTCATTTAATTCTGGATCCTGCAGAAAATAAATGGATCCTGACAAATGATCATGGATTATCATAAATATGAGCAGTTAGTAGTCCTGATCACAGCTGTTGTGCCTGATATGTATCATTGCTAAAGTATATCATTAAACCCATAGGTGTACGCTGTGCAGCCACTGACTTAGTAAATGCATTTTCTCGATTCTGATTACAAAAGATCAGAAACTGTGCACATTTATGTGAGATGACATCACTCACTCACATTTGCTCCAACTATGTTACCTCTCCTGTCCCTTGTCATAATGCAATCCAAAGAGACGTGGACACCCACAGAGTATCATGCCCACCCATTACACCCACTGATGACACCATGCTGATTAGGCAGGACAAGCAAGTAGCTTAGATCCTGGAGGCCTTGGTTAGAGGGTAAAAGATGAACCCTGCAAAGATTTAGTGAAGTTTTTAAGGAGTGAGAGGACTGCCGACATAGTCCTTTCAAAATAGAGGACAGTTGCTACATTTTGTATCCTCTGCTATGAGAAAGGATGCCCAGTGTCTTACAGGCTTGCTTGTATTCTAGAAGCAACTGTCTTCACACCTAGAAATTACTCCATCTTAGTCATTGGGTGATACTGAAAGCTGCTGGCTTAAAGTGGGTTGTGGAGCAATAAGTGTTTGCAGCAGGTCCAGAATACAAGGCAAGAAGCCTTGCCACATGGGCCGTACACTCCAACAGGTCCTATGGTGTCAGCAGTCATAGTGCTGGGGAAAGATACAGGGCAGAGTTTACAACAAGCCCTAGTGGGAGAATCGTAACAGCCTTCTGGGATTCTGGAGCAAGGCCATGTCATCTGCAACTGATATATATATAGGCCTTCTGAGGTACGGGTCTTAGAATGTGATTGAGCCCTCAGAAATACAAACTTCTTCAATGGGGAGCATACAGTGACTGTGTATCCAGAACTTCCTTTGATAAGCTGAATACTGTCATAAAGTCAAGAGTCATAAAGTCAGACAGCCCTAGTCACAGTCTGTCAAAGATGAAAATGATACATGGGAGATTAAGCCCAAGCAGGGCTGACTGTGTAAGCTACATAAAAAGAGTCTGGACTTCCAAGTCACCCAACAAAGTTGCACCATGACTTCACTCAGTTCAGAGGGAAAAGACATAACCTTAGTGTACATATAGGTCTTCTCAATAGGTGAGTAAATCTGACAATGGATAATGGCGGTCACATTCAGAGGTGAGCTTGAAAGAGAGGAGATAAGTATGATCTTCCCAACGGGCAGAGCTCTGAACAGTGTACCTGACCATTTCACAATTCTGGACAGTGTCCAGAGGTCTGGCTGTCGGACAGGGGTCCAGGAGACCACAAGTAAGAAGGATCCAGGTGGAAGAATAGAGAAGGACATATTAGCTTGGGCACAAAGTGTGGAGATTTTTGTATCACATGTTAATACCCATCACAATCATCCCAATGGAAAAGGCCCTAAACAAAGTAGACAAGTAATTCAACCAGTTGACTTTGGCCAATCTGGAAGTGCCACATCTGATGTATAAATGGATTGGTTATAGTGGCAGACACAGAGGGTACAAATGGGTTCAATAACATAAACTCTCACAAGAACTGATCTAGCTACTGCTGCCTTCAAATAGCCAACCTGTCTGCCACAGAGAACAATGTTACTCACCATTACGGACCAATTCCTTATGTTGACTAACCAGACATGAAGTCCTCACATCCTTAAGGGTCTTCTTCACAGAAAGAGATGTTTATTTTGAACATGGTTCATCCTTTCCTGCCCACAGAATCTCAGCTTGCACCACTGTGTAGGACTTTGTAAAGTCTCTGATCATTAGTCATGAAAATCCACAATGCAGCATCCAACCAAAAGACCCACTTCCCAGAACAGGAGATAAACAAGTGGACTCTGACCATAGAATCCACCACTTGTATTGTATAACACATTATCCAGAAGCAGCTGGCCTCATAGGACACTGGAATCTCTTACTAAATGTCAGCTTAATTTCCATCCTCAAGATAACATTCTATAAGGATAGTATGCCTCTGGTGGAGGGAGCAGTGCTTGGTTGGTTGTTTTGGTTTTTCAAGACAGGAGCTCACTGTGTAATTCGGACTGTCTGTCCTTGAACTCACTACATAGGTCAGGAGGGCCTTGAACTCCCTGCAATTCTCCTGCTTCAGCCTCATAACTGCTGGGATTACAGCCATGTGCAACCATGTCCAGGGGTGTGCATTCTTCAGAATGCAATATATGCATTAAATTGGAGGCCTCTATATAGGTTCCCTAAAAGAGAATACATGGGCCTAGGGACGTAAGGGTAGAAGCAAAAGTGGACTCAACTGACCATCACACCAGTGACTCACTGGGAATTTTGTACTTCCCATCCTTGAAATTCCAACTTTTATAGAATTGCTGATCCCCAAAAGTGTTGCACTCTTGTCAGGAGAGGAAGCAAAGGTTCTACTCAACCATAAGTTACAGATGCCATCAGGTGATCTTGGATTCTTGTTTCTAAGGATTAGAATCGCCACTGTATAAGGAATAATCATCCCTGGGCAGCAGAAGGAGGTAGGGATGTGTAATGAAGAAAGAGAAGAATACATGTGGAACCCAGGCCATTTATTTGGGACCTGCTGTTATTCCACTACAAGTATGTATGGAGTACCAACATAGCAGCAAACTCATTTCATGAGGGCTATGGTTGACAAGAACTCAGGCTACTTTAGAATATAAGTTCAGATCACACCATCAGAGAATGTACTAAGACCTGCCAAGGTGATAGCTAAGAATAAAGGAAATTTAAATTAGATGGTAAAGGAGGGTGAAAATGATTACAGGTAGTGGCCTTGGTGTTAACTATAGCAATAAGGGCTATAGTTGACTCACTGTGGATCACAGCAGGAAGAAAGGCCCATAAGAACAGTGAAGGAGCTGCTCTCCAGCCTGTATGGAGAAGGAGAGCTGTGTGGTTCAAGGGGTGGACTGTGGCAGCCCTGAAATGTGCTCCTCAAATCTCCTGCCACTGGGAGCATAATTCGCTGAAAGACTTAGCTGCTGTCCAGCCAGGTCCAACACAATGCAGTCATTGACACTAAAAGTTCCTCCTCACAGACTGCTCCTCACCAATGCCTGAGCAGTGATCAAAGGTCCAGTTGTCTAATCAGAGTCCTGGAAGGACCATCAGGTTAATAAGGCAGGCACCTTCTAGCAAAAGCAGGACTCTTCCAAAGGGCAATTTTGGCTTCAAATTTTTCCATCAGCCTGTCTGAACTTTTCCTAAAACTGCATTAATATATAACATACATTCCACTTAGTCCTCCCTTATTCCACAGATGCCAAACTGGCATTGCAGCCTTCAAAGCTGCCTTGCTACTTTCCTCAAGAAATTTCATGTTTTGTCACTCTTAGTGGATGTAAGCTTATTCTCACTGAACTTTGTCCAAATTAGAAAAAGCATTGCTTCCTAACATAGATGGCTTCTGGTTTGAAAATCCCAAAGCATTGCTTTCAGTGCTGGGTTTTAGTTCCTTATCACTCCCCTTGTGCAGCTCATGGTGTATATAACCACACAGAAGAAGAGGTCTTGGCCTTAGATATTCAGCTAGTGGATGGGTATAAGTCAGGCCCACAGCATGATCATTCCAGAAAGCCCATTTTAAGTGAGTAAAGAAAGAAAAGGAATAGTTACTTTAAAAGAGGGTTAGCAGGTTGTCAAGCCCCAGACAGCTGGCTTGGATTATAGTCATGGATACTCACTAGGCACTATGTGTCCTTGGAGAGAGAGAGTGGATTCAGAAAAACCCAAACCATTTCTGTTCTTCCAGGTCATGAGGTTGTGCAGTGTAATAGGCTATTCTTGACCATGTTAATAAACCTGAAACCTTTGACCACATTGTTAGAGTAGTTTCTTGTCCTACTGATATGTAGGTCAAGGTCTGTACATACCTCCCACATATCTGGCCCAATTTGTATGGGGAGAGGGTTGAGACTGTAGAGAGCCCAATACTCTTTTGAAACATCTACAATGAGACCAAAATCAGTGCAACTTTTCCAGACACTGTCTGATCTTTTCTAATTAACATCCAGTGTAGGAGAAATGTTGAGTAGTCAACTCCAGTGCACACAGCCCTGTTTTCAGTAACTTCTTTTTGTTTTTTCTCCTATTGTACTGTTCCCACCCATCTTCTCTTGGACTGTATTTTGCTGACCTGTCCATTCTGAGAGGTATATGTGCTGAAGATCAAAGAATACATCTGATCCCTGAGACAAAAATTAAGTTGGAATAGGGCCAGGGAAATGCTCAGTGGTACCACGCTGCCTCACAAGCACAGGGTCCTGAGTTCAATTCCTGGTAACAAGCCAAAAAAAATTAAGTTGGAATAGCTAAGGTAACGGAGCTAAGTCTTCCCAAGAGTTTGAATTGGAAGCTGGCATGGTGGCATACCCTTGTGATCCCAGCAGTACAAGGGTAATCTCAGAAGCAGGAGGATCACCTGACAATTTAGCAAGATCCTGCCTCTAAACAAATAAGAGTCTGGTAACACAAACAACAAAAAGAACACAGCCCAAAGCAGGAATAGGGCAGCATCTAGCAATAGCAGGCCTTAAGAAATGTTTCTTGCCTTTATTTCTCCTAACATCAATTCCTCCTCTTTAATCTGGAGGGACTAATAAACATATTCAATGGCATTTGTGAGGACTCTGTATAAATACATCAACAAGTGATTTTCCACCGCTATCACAATGCATGAGGTGTGAATTGCTTGATAAATACTATCTCCTTGGCTCCATTTTTTCTGCATTATATCATAAGTGGTTCTCAAAGTGTTTAATAATCTGGATGGAACAAGCATCCTCCAATCACAGTAGGCTTTGCCTGTGAGAGGCAGGTGGAGTTCCAGAATTCCCCTGCCATGCCACCTCTTAGCTCTTTAGTTGCTAGGCCACTAGGCATCTGAGAAGTCTCAGGGAAGATACCCAGGTTGGCTGGGGCATCTCAAGAAGGCTCAAGTAAAGAATTAGTGCTTCTTTTAGCAAAGGTAGCCTCTAAGTTCTTGTCACAAACTCAGATGCAAAAGTGAATGAGAGACATTTGTATTTATAATCTTTCAAGCAGATATTGATCTATATGGGAGTATATATGTATGCACGGGATATTCAGGTAGGTGGTGAGTGTATCAGGGGAGAAGTGTGTTGTGTGTGAGTGGCTGTATATGTAAGTGTGTAGAGCCAGTGTGTGGAAGGTTTACATGCACATGGACATACACGGAGGTGAGAGATGGTTAAATTTTCCCAGAAACATAAGGAGAAATAGAAAGAGCAAGCCTGGCCAAATCCATGGACAGAGGGAAATACATTCTCATCATTGTCAGCCAGTCTCTGAGGGCCAGTACCATCCCTGCTCTAGGTATCTTGCTTGGAACCTTGAGTTTGCAAAGCAGGTGGTGGAACCACTGAGCTAAATCCCCGGCCCTTCACTCAGGTTCTTGCAGGGTAAAATAAGATTTGGCTGCCAGGGCTTTTTTTTTTTTTTTGAGATAAGGTCTCACTATGTAGTTGAGACTGACCTGGAATTCACTATGTAGCCCAGGCTGGTCTCAAACTCACAGCGATCCTCCTGCCTCAGCCTCCTGAGTGCTCGTGAGTGTGCACCACCACGCGCAGCCACA